CCTGTACATTTTCTTGATTTCACAGAAATCTTTGAAGGTTTTCACACTCAAAAAAATAAAATAAAATAAAATAAAAAAGGGAAGATATCCAAATAAATCGGTCTTGCTGATCCCTCCTTGCCCAGAAGGAAAATAAGTCTTGCAACACTTGTGAAGAAATTTGCTTGTACGTTGGTGCCACCTTGTGTTGACTTTCCAGACAAAGCCCAGTATTCAAATTTAGGCTAAACTGGGTTTCTTTGAGGATAAAATACAGCTAGTTCCTTCACTTACCCCTCCCAAGGGATCCCAAACACTTCTGTTGTTGTTGACATTTATTAAGTGAGTTTTGCCCCCTTTTACAATCTTCTATTGTCGTTGCAACTTTGAACGGTCTCTAAATGAATGTTCGTCAGTCAAGGATTACTTGCAATCACACCTGTGCCCTGTATAGGTTAGTTTGCTAACAAATTAACCGTTTGAACAACAGTTTGCCAACAAAGGAGAATATTTGTAACTCAGGGGTCTTGGTGTTCTCTGAGAATAGAATAGAATAAGGGATAGAATAGAATATAGAGTAGAGTAGAGTAGAGTAGAGTAGAGTAGAGTAGAGTAGAGTAGAATAGAACAGAACAGAACAGAACAGAACAGAACAGAACAGAACAGAACAGAATAGAATAGAATAGAATAGAATAGAATAGAATAGAATAGAATAGAATAAGGGATAGAATAGAATAGAATAGAATAGAATAGAATAGAATAGGATAGGATAGGATAGGATAGGATAGGATAGGATAGGATAGGATAGGATAGGATAGGATAAGGGGTAGAATAGAATAGAATAGAATAGAATAGAATAGAATAGAATAGAATAGAATAGAATAGAATAGAATATAGAATAGAATAGAATAGAATAGAATAGAATATAAAATATAGAATAGAATAGAATAGAATAGAATAGAATCACAGGATAGGATAGGATAAGGGATAGAATAGAATAGAATGGAATATAGAATAGAATAGAATAGAATAGAATAGAATAGAATAGAATAGAATTAGACTAGACTAGACTAGACTAGAATAGAATAGAATAGAATAGAATAGAATAGAATAGAATAGAATAGAATTACAGGATAGGATAAGATAGGATAGGATAGGATAGAGCTGGAAGGGTCCTTGGAGATCTTCTAGTCCAGCCCCCTGCTCAAGCAGGAGAACCTATGCCATCTCTGACATATGATCGTCCAATCTCTTCTTGAACAATCATCTGTCAGAGATAGATAGTTTGGATATTCATGTTACAATGAAAAAAGTGGCATGACTCTTTTTCACGCAATTGTAGTAGCAGCCCCATTGTCATGTGATCAAACTTGCGGGCGCCTGGCAACCGGCATGTATTTATGACGGTTGCAGAATTCCGGGGTCACATGACCACCTTTTGCAACCTTCTGACAAGCAAGATCCATGGGGAAGCCAATCAATAGATCAGAATAGAATTGGAAGGGACCTTGGAGGTCTTCTAGTCCACCCCCTTTGAAGCAGGAGAAAACTATACCATTTCAGACAGGTGACTGTCCAGTCTTTTCTTAAAAACGTCCAGCGATGAAGCACCCTCAACTTGACTGATCAACTTTTTATTCTACACCAATGTTTCTCAATCCATCAGTCAGAATGGAGCTGGAAGGGACCTTGGAGGTCTTCTAGTCCAACCCCCTACTCAGGCAGGACACCCTATACCCTTTCAGTCTTTTATTAAAAAACCTCCAGTGTTGGAGCATCTACAACTTCTGAAGGCAACTTTTCTTCCACTGGTTAATTCCCAGATTCACTTAACAACCGTTGTTACCAACTTCATCACTGTGGCAAGCAAGGTCGTAAAAATGGGGCAAAACTCAGTTAAAAGCGATCTCGCTGAGCCACGGAATATGTTGGGCTCAACTGGAATCGCAAGTCAAGGACTGGCTTGTATTTTTGTTTTTTAAATCCATTTCTCGCGCTTCCGATTTCTGTCTCCCGGTTGGCCCGTCGAAATCCCTTGGACACGAAACAGCAGCCGAGAAATAATATTCCAGGCGGATCCGCCTTGTCTCTGAACACTGTCTTGCCTTCAGCAAGAAGCTAAACGATAAATTGTTCAAGCAATTTATTCCAAAAAGACGGAACAATTTCTGCCAGAGGTTTGACCAACTTTGGACTTTGCGTCCCGTGGAGTTAATCGAACAGATTATTTGTCCGGTAGGAACCTTGCAGTTTCACAATCCTTATCTGCTCCCTCACTTGGACATCTCAGCGTATAATAATATTCAATTACACTGATAAAAAAAAAAAAAACCAAGCCCAGATCTATCTCCCTCGGCTGTCCAAGGTCAGGCGTATGTTCACGGCAGGTGAACTTTGAACGTAGCTGCTCTTAAATCCCATTTAAGTCCTATTTTTCCTTCCCTGGATTTTAGCCAGATCAGATTGCTAGTGCAAAAGGCAAAAGTCTCTGAGATTTTCCGAGCTCCGGGAAGGAAATAAACAACATTTTTAAGATGCTCGCGAGACGAGTTTGACTGTCAATACAGGTGGTCCTTTCGTTACGACCACGATAGGGATCCAGTGTTGCTAAACAAGGCAGCTGTTAAGCAAGCCTTGCCCCATTTTTTGGCCGTTTTGCCACCGTTGTTAAGCGAATCGCTGCGGTTGTTAAATGAAACGTGCCGTCGTTAAACGAATCGGGCTTCCCCGTTGACGTTGCTTGGCAAGGTCGCAAAAGGGGATCACGTGACCCCAGGATACTGCAACAGTCACAAATGCGTGCCAGTTGCCAAGCGCACGAATTTTGATCACGTGACCGTGGGAATGTTGTGACGGATGTGTGGAAAACGGTCGTGTCGCTTTTTTTCAGCGCCCTCATAATTTTGAACGGTCACTAAACGAACAGCCGTTAAGTGAGGCAGCATCCTCTGGAAGTTTCCATGGGTTTATCCACGGGATGTTCTTAGCCACTGCATGGAAACAGTCTTTAATATTTATTTGTTATGTATATATAGGGGTGTAGATCTATACATATGTTGTACATAGTATGTTTTAGGTGTGTGTCATGTGTTTCACTCTGAGAGCGGGCAACTAAATGTCATTTTTGATGTGTGCCGCGGTGCCCACAGTAAAAAAAAAATGACAATACAGGTTATCTTATCTTTGCAATGATTTTCTTCCTAAATAGCCAAGCTACCTGGCACTCGTAGGATTTCCGAGTGGTCTCCCATCCAAGTAGGGGGGCGGGCCCAGCTTTTTCATCTGTGCATTTGTTGGGCGATGTGGTCCCTGTTCTAAAGAATACGGAGATTTATTTTTCAGACCTTGATCAATTGTTGCGTTGCCGCTTTCCACTTGTGGATTTTTCACAAAACATTTGTCTGGCCTTGTGATTTAAATCTTGTGATTTAAATCTTCCTGTTGTGTGGCCAAATATATTGCTTTCAAGAAATAAACCACAATCAAAGACTTCACTTCCAGCCCAGACATGATCTGCCAGCAAACGTTTTGACTATAAGCAGCTTTTAAAATGTGCCCATTTCACTCCTCAAAACCAGCACGAGGGCTTACAGTGATGCTTTGGGGGGAGGTTGTTGGTTAGAAAAGGATGTTTTATTATTTAAAAAATCCATACATAGCAGAACGTCGCTCCCTCCTTCTTCCCAGTAAGCTGGAAACATCCCAGAGTTTCACTTGGGAGAGACTGAAAGAAGGAAAAAAGAAAATTTAAAAATACAGGGAGGAGTCCTCAACTTACGATCACAATCGAGCCTGGAAATGTTGGTTGTTAAGTGAGACCTTTCTTGCTGCTGTTAAATGAATCACTGCCATTGTTAAACGGGTCATACGGTCAGTAAGTGAACCCGGCTTCCCCATTGACTTTTGCTTGTCAGAAGGTCACAAAAGGAGATCACGTGACCCCAGAGACAGTGCAACGGTCGTAAGTATGTGCCTTGGGGATGCTGCGATGGTTGTAAGTGTGAAAAATGGTGATAAGTCCGTTGTATATAACGCCATTGTAACGTCGGTCATTGAACGTGATCGTTCAGCGGCCGTTCAAAGATACAACAGCACTGGAAAAGGTGACTTGAGACCGTGTTTCGCACTTACGACCGTCGCAGCATCCCCACGGGATGAAAATTCAGACGATTGGCAACTGACTCCAATTTATGGCGGTCAGTGTCCCAGGGTCACGTGATCCCCTTTTGCAATCTTCAGGCAAGCAAAGTCGTAACATGGGGCAAAACTCACTTAACAAACGCCTCACTTAGCAACAGAAATGTTGGGCTCAATTTTTGTCGTTAAGTCGAGGACCGCCTGTAACCCCACCACAGAATTATTTAGTTTTGCAGCTACAATAGGGACCCAGAACTTGGTTGTCAAGCAAAGAGGTCACTAAGCGAAACCACAACTGGGCTTACGATCTTAATTTAGCTTCCCTTTGCTTTAGGTCATACAAATGGTTGTAAAGTTATATTTTTCATTCTGGTCGCAACTGCAAAGTTGCTAAACGGGGTGGTCGTTAAGCGAGGACCACGCTGTAATATTCCCGTTGTGGACTAGAATCGGTGGGCAACAACACAGCCTGCCCAGTCTCACAGCTGGGAGAGGAGCTTTGGCGATTGCAGGCCCATGAAGTGTGGCTGTGATATTCTTTTAACAATTTGTGGGTTCTTGTGCCCTACAGTTGTACAACTGTGAGGGAGCAATGCAAGGGTGTGTGTGTGAACATGTACCTACAAAGAGCTTTTTAAAAAATATTTAAAAAATTAAAAGGATAAAAACATATTTATGACGGTTGCAGTGTCCCAGGGTCATATGGTCCTGTTTTTCTTGGAATTTTTCCACTTTTTCACTCCCGGATTTCCAGACTCTTGGAATAAATGAGAGAATTTCTATATTTCTGATGTGGTTATTTGGGAATATGTGGTATTTTGTTCCCCCAAGGACAGTTTGATCCTGAGATGTTGCTGAAGTGGAGGAAACCACATGAAGGGCCATTTGTAAAAGTACTCTGTTTTTTTATTGACAGGATCTAAAGGGTGACTGTGGGTCTCCTTTTGCAACAAAAACATCACAAAGCTGCACTTTTCACACACTTTTTGTCTTCCTGCAACACTGGCCAAATCCCCCCAGAGGCCCAGAACAACATCGTCCAATCCCAGCATTGCTGTCAACTCAGCCGTCCTCCAGGCACACAACTCCCAGAATTCCTAGCTACTCGCTAGGAATTCTGGGATCCTGGCTAGGGATTCCGGGAGTTGTGGTCTTCGCCTAGAAGAGGCTTAAAAGATTTATTATTATTATTATTTTTGCCCCACACAACTCTCACACCCAAACAGGAAAATGTAATGCGTGTTGTTGACAGTGGCGTGCTGGGGGGCTCCTAGGCCCACTCCTCATTTTGTGCCTGGCCTCACCAACGAGGCAGCCATTTTGAGAAAGGGCAAGTCTCTCCCGCCCTCCCTTCCTGGCAATTTCCAGGATCCAATATGGCCTCCAGGTTTCTCAGGAAATTGAGAGTGCCTGCTGCAGGTCCTTTTGCCTTGCCAAATTCTCTCCATTTGCAAATTTGGGACCTAAAAATTGGGCAACAGGATTCCCAAATCTGCCTCTTTCGCCCTCTGGCCCAAATTTTGGCTCTGGGGAAGAGACCGGAAGCCATGTTTTCGGCTTCCATTTGTTTCTCTCCTTCCGTTGGAAGCAAGAATGATCAACCAAGTACATTTCTCAACACGCCCAAGAGAACCAGCCTTATTTGCACCGTAAACGTCACTAGACTGAGGCATAAGGCTGCAGGGAACCATGGGGGCTGTAGTTCCTCGGGTGGAAGATGGACACCCACCCACCCGCCCCGCCGAGCAGCACCCATGCCAAACTACAATTCCCAGGAGCCTTTGAGGGGAAGCGTCTGCCCGCTTGCCATCATCCCCAAAGCTATTTGTGCATGTAGACCTGCCTAAGATGGCCGAGACTCTTTGGCGCCATCTGGTGGTGGATAGAAGGGACTACCTGGGAGGGAGCTGGGCTCAGCGTCCCCCTCTGGTGGATTAAAGAGGGGAAAGCAGCTTCTCGGCAAGTTCATTTCCCGCGCAGCTCCCCAAAAGTTCGATGGAGGCGGAAGGAAGTCCAGGGCGGGCTCATAAAAAAAACTGCACCATGGAAGGCGCCTGAGCTATGGGGGCCTTGGTGGCCCCCTCCCCACAATGCCCCCCGGCCGCCTCGCTCAGCAGCTTCTGACACCGGGCTTTGTAGATGTCTCGTTCGTGGACCAAGCGGGCCACCTCCACCCGCAGGGACTCCAGCTGCTGGGCCAACTGGGACTTCTCGGCTTCCAGGATGTGGCGCTGCTGGACCCGTTTGAAGCGACAGGACTGGGCGTAGCCGCGGTTTTTGAGGGTGCGCCGTTTCTGCTTCAGCCGCTGCACCTCGTCCTTGCCGAAGCCGCGGAGCTGCCGGTTGAGGTCCCGCACGGACATGGAGACCAGCTGGGCATCGGAGAAGCGGTCGGAAAGCCGGGGTAGCTGGAAGTGAGGAAGCTGTATCAGGCAGGCAGAGGAAAACAAAAGCCACATCGGGTGAGCAAAAGGATGCTAAAGTTGCAGCATTCTCACACGAGGGCAGGGGGTCTTCAAACTTGGCCCTTTTAGGACTTGTGGACTTCAACTCCCAGAATTCCTCAGCCAGCGTGAGGGAACTATGGCCCTTTGATGACTTGTGGACTTCAACTCCCAGAATTCCTCAGCCAGCGTGAGGGAACTATGGCCCTTTGATAACTTGTGGACTTCAACTCCCAGAATTCCTCAGCCAGCATGCCTGGCTGAGGAATTCTGGGAGTTGATGTCCACAAGCAGGGGCCTTCAAACTTGGCTCTTTTAGGACTTGTGGACTTCAACTCCCAGAATTCCTCAGCCAGCGTGAGGGAACTATGGCCCTTTGATGACTTGTGGACTTCAACTCCCAGAATTCCTCAGCCAGCATGCCTGGCTGAGGAATTCTGGGAGTTGACGTCCACAAGCAGGGGCCTTCAAACTTGGCTCTTTTAGGACTTGTGGACGTCAACTCCCAGAATTCCTCAGCCAGCGTGAGGGAACTACGGTCCTTGGATGACTTGTGGACTTCAACTCCCAGAATTCCTCAGCCAGGCACATCATAAGTACATGCCAGTTGCCAAGTGTCTGAATTTTGATCACGTGACCTCAGGGAGGCTACAACAGTTGTGTGAAAAATGATCATCGGTCACTTTTTTTCCGGGCCGTTTTAGCTTCGGTCACATGATCTTTCTTTGAATTCAGGCTTCTAACCAAGCTGGAGAAGACTGAGGCCGGTGTCCCCCAACATCTGGACCCGTGTGGTTGGACTACAATTCCCTGCACTCCCAGCCACTGGCTACCGATGGGAGTTGTAGTCCCTTCATATGTGGAGGATACCTGAATTGAGGCAAGCTGCTTCGAGCACCGAACCCAATGATTCATTTTCTAAAACGTGCAATCCTGACTATTTCGTTTGTGTCATATAAAGCCAGACAAACTGGATTAGCAGAACCTCCGTTGGGCTGGCCATAAGCCAGCATGGACCTAACATGCGACATTCCTTTTTTTTTTTTTTTAAATGTTGGCTGTCTGGTCCGTTACCTTCTTAATCCGGAGAAATTAAGAATATTTTTATTCCCCTGGAAACATCCCCTCTCGGGAGAGGTGCATTCGCAATCCAGGTCTGATAGTGCTCATTTCTTATACTACAGGCTTATGAGTAGTCAGGTAAGAGCACTCTGCACACGCTCAAAAGCTAGGCCTTCCAGGGAGTGCCTTCCACTGGGGGGGGGACCCCTTCATTTCGGCAGCTTTTCAGGTCCGAAGCTGTTCTAACCCTGGATGCGCAAGGACCGTGGCTTCTCGCAAGGCGGCTCTCTGCACATGCTCAGAGACGCTGAATTCGATCCTATTTGCCAAGACTAATTAAACCAGTCTCCCATTCATCCTTCTATTTCCCTGCCCCTCGCTTTCTCCACTTTCAACAGTTCGTTTAATGAGCAAAGTTCCAACAGCCCTGAAAAAAGTGACCGTTTTTTTTCCACACTTAACGACCGTTGCAGCGTTCCCCAGGCACAGCTGATCGGAATTCAAACGCTTGGCAACCGACTCACATTTATGACGGTCGCAGGGGGGCCGGGATCACGGCAGGGATTCCCTTAACCCACCGCGGCAAGAAAGCAGCAGGCATTCTGGGCTCCGCTGTCGTCGTAAGTCGAGGACCGCCTCGAGGTGGCAGAGCAGTTAGAGTGCAGTACTGCAGGCCACTTTAGCTGACTGTGTTCAGCAGGTCAGCGGTTCAAATCTCACCGGCTCAAGGTTGACTCAGCCTTCCATCCTTCCGGGGTAGGTAAAATGAGGACCCAGATTGTTGGGGGCAATGTAAATATATATATATACATTGCTTACTGGTGTACACCGCTTAGAGAGTGCTTGCACTTAAAGCGGTATATAAGTCTCATAAATAAATAAATAAATAAATATTGGATGTCTTTCTTTTTCTTTTGTGGTTTCGTTTTGCAGACTTACCTGTTGCTGCTGTTGCTCGGCCCCAAAGCTCTCGGCGGATCCCAGGAACCCCTGCAGCTCGGGGCTCATGCTGTTTCGAAGACCCCCTTCTGCCACGGGTACCCCCAAAAAGGCTTCGACGGCTTCATCCAGCCCTGGCACCATCTGCGTCTCCGGACCGGCGCCCGCCGCCGCGGCCGCCGCCAAAGACTGGTGCAACGTCGCCATCCAGTAGAGCTCTTCCAGGGAGGATTTGGGGTCTGCCCCCTTGTCGAAGGTGGGCGAGGGGGGCACGGAGCTGCACGGGGTGGAACTGACGGAGGAGCTGCTGTTCAGCCGGGGCAATTCCTGTTTCACTTCGAACTTCAGCAGGTCAAACTCATCCAGATAATCCAGAGCAATCGGGCTGGCGGGTAAGGTGTTCATTCTGCAAGAAGGAAGGAAGATAAGGTTGGTGTTTGTGTGTGTGTGTCGGTGCGTTTGTGTATACGTGTGTCTCACCGGGCTGGAAGAGATCTGGATTAATGGATTAACTCTGGAGGGGGGGGGATAGAAAAATAACCAACCCAATATCTTTTGCGCCAGCTACCTGTTTGCTCAGGACGCTGGACATCCTGTGAGGTAGCTTTTGCCCCTCATCCAGCCCCGCGGAAAACCTCTAATGCTTCCACCTCTCTATTTATTATTTCGTAGACAATTAGGATAAGCTTGCCAGGAAATAAATCGGTGAAAAAATATATATCTTTTGCACCAGCTACCCTGTTTGCTCAGGACGCTGGACATCCCGTGGGGTAGATTTTGCCCCTCATCCAGCCCCGCGGAAAACCTCTTATGCTTCCACCTCTCTATTTATTATTTCGTAGATGGTTAGGATATGCTTGCCAGGAAATAAATAGGCGAAAAAATATATATCTTTTGCGTCAGCTACCCTGTTTGCTCAGGACGCTGGACATCCCGTGGGATAGCTTTTGCTCCTCATTCAGTCCCGAGGCAAACTTTATTTTTATATAAAGGTTTTTATTGAGTTTTTGTAAGGTTGGGGAAGGGATAGGACCAGGATAGGGATTAAGGTTTCGGGTGGGGTTAGGATTGGGATTGGGATTGGGACAGGATTGGGAACAATATTGGGGTTGCCCCCCCCCAATAACATTTTCAAGCTTTAGCAAACAGACTATTGTTTGGATACATATGTTCAGTTAATATACTAATTAATATAATAGTAAATAGCTGTAGTGAATATGATAAACGATCATGTTTATGATGATCGTTTATCATATTCACTACAGCTATTTACTATTATATTAATTAGTGTTAACTGAACATATGTATCCGGACAATAGTTGGTCGATACATATCATTCTTCTTACTAATATATATTCAAAATAACGTATCACATTCATTTCTCACCGGTTCGTTTTCCTAACCCTTGGTAAAAATTTATCCCATGTTTTAAAATAAACTCGAGTCTTCTTTCTCTTTCATCTCTAAGATTAGTCTATCCATTTCTGCACATTCTGAGATTTTCTTAATTAAAATCTCTTCCGTTGGTAAGTTTTCATTTTTCCAGTATTGGGCAAATACTATTCTCGCTGCTGCGGCGAACTTCTAACGCTACCACTTATTTATTATTTCGTAGAAGGTTAGGATATGCTTGCCAGGAAATTAATAGGTAAAAAAATAACATATCTTTTGCACCAGCTACCCTGTTTGCTCAGGACGCTGAAAATCCCGTGGGGTAGCTTTTGCAAACTTTTAACTCTATCACCTCTCTCTTATTTTGTAGGTTATGAAGGAAATAAGTAGGCAATAAATAAATAAATAAAACTTCTGCACCAACTACAGGTCGTCCTTTCCTTACAACAGTTCCATTTAGTGACCATGTCAAAGTCACAATGGCACTGGAAAAAAAAGGGACTCACAACGGCACTGGAAAAAAAAGGGACTCACAACCGTGTTTTACACTTACGACCTTTGATCATGTGATCAAAATTCAATAGACTATATTGGTGAATAAAGAAAGAATTTAAATTTTGGAATAATATTTGTATTTTAGTCACGAGAATTAGTTTAGAATGCAATGAGTCTAAGTCTATCCGAATTATAAATATTGGTTATAAAAGGCTAAATTGGAATTAAATAAAACCTAAAAACAGGACTTGGGTATGCATAACTAAAATATTATTGATAAATGTATAGATTATTTGAACGTTAGCTAGAAAGTACCAACATGAATGTGATATAACACCTAAGTGAAATAGAGAGGGAATCGTTATTGATGTAAACTGAAATATCTATGTATTATTCTGTTATTGGATTATTGATTACCCGATCACCACGCTGCTTCCTAGCTACTTGGTTGTTAAAATTGGAAAAATTAGTAAAATTTGTTTAAAAAAAAAAAATTCAGATGTTTGGCAACTGATTCATATTTATGACGGTCCCCGTGCCTCTTTTGCGGCGTTCTGACAAGCAGAGTCAACGGGGGAAGCCACTTAACGACCGGAGTTGCTAACTTATCAACTGCACCGATTCGCTTAATGACCACGCTGAGAAAGGTCATAAAATGGGGCACTTAACAAACGTCTTGCTTAGCCAGAGCATTTTTGGGCTCCCTCGCCGTCGTAAGCCGAGGACTGTCTGTCACCCTGTTTGCTCAGGACACTGAACATCTGTGAGGTAGCTTTCGCACCTCATCCAGTCCCACAGCAAACCTCTATGGCTGGTACCTTTCCTTTCATTTGGGAGATGATGATCAAGTTGCCCAGAAATAAATAGGCAAAAATTTAAATATTCTTTGGCACCAATTCCCGTTTGCTCAGAATGCCGAACATCCTGTGGGATAGGTTTTGCACTCAGCTCCACGGCAAATTTCTAGTACTACCATCTTTCCCTTTATTATTTCGTCGGTTACAATATGCCGGGGCGGAGACACCAGGAAATAAATAATTAAGAAAAGAAAAAAAAGGGGGGGGGGCAGCCACGGATTATCCAGGGAAGATTTTATTTCATTTTAAAAATCGCGGATTACATTTCTATGCCGCCCAGCTCGCTACCCAAAGGGACACGGTGATGTGCCGACAACCTGGATTGAAACCACGGTTTGAGTCCTACCTATCCTTGCCAATCCTTGACCAGGATAGACTGCAAAAGAGGACCCAATCCCTTGCCCCAGGGCAAACCTCTTGCACGCTATTCACACCTACTGACTTGGATTAAAGTTCGCTCTCTCTGCCGAGCTTCTGTAGCCCAGCACTGTCTATCCCAAGCCCAGGTGGGCATGTTTTCTGGAAAACTGTAGGGTGATTTTAGCACGGAAACCCGGAATGGTCGGAGATTTGGCTGAGGAAAAACAGGCAGAATTTGTCCTCCCTAGCAGAGCTGGGTGGAAAATACGGAGCGGAGATTGTTTCCTCTTTACTAATTTTTCCTGGCTAGGCTACTGCTACTTATAGACCGACCCTTGGTGCCTAACTGGCATCCTTGGATTAAATGGGAAGGGTCTGATAAAGGGAAGACTCCCCCCTCCAGGATCTAATACTCTGAAGGAAAAGTTTTTCAACTTTGACCAGTTAGTTGAAGAGGGGAAGACTTCAACTCCCAGAATCCCCCCCAGCCAGCTTTGCTGGCTGGGGGGGGGATTCTGGGAGTTGAAGTCCTCCCCTCTTCAACTGGTTAAAGTTGAAAAACTTTGCCTGAAGATCCCATCGGAGGATGAATTTTGTTTGTTCGGCTGAATAGCCTTTTCTTTACCCCGCCAGCCCAAATCCACACCTTGACCCCCGCAATCCACAGGTGCTGGCTTCTCCCTCTGGATGCCGCGCAGCGGGCTGCGCGCATCCTCCCCAGGCAAGCGGCGCTTCGCGGCTATCCCGAGGGTGCGGAAAGGATCGCGCAGAGAAAAAGAAGAAATGAAAGCGGACGGGGCAGAAAAAAAAAAACCCTCCCGGGAGGAGAGAGATGAGAAAGCCTACAAAACGCAAGGCGATCCTTTGGGGAAAAAAAAAAAAACAGATCCGGGGGGGGGGGGGAAACGCAAGGCGATCCTTTGCAAAAAAAAAAAAAAAACCCAGACCCGGAGAAAACGCAAGGCGATCCTTTGCACACACACACACACACACACACACACAAAAAAACCAGATCCGGGGAAAATGCAAGGCGATCCTTTGCAAAAAAAAAAAAAACAGATCCGGGGGGAAACGCAAGGCGATCCTTTGCAAAACCGCAAATCTGGGGGGGGGGGACGCAAGGCGATCCTTTGCAAAAAAAAAAAAAAACCAAGATCCGGGGGGAAAACGCAAGGCGATCCTTTGCAAAACACCCAGACCCGGGGGAAATTCAAGGCGATCCTTTGCAAAACCCCAGATCTTTTTGGGGGGGGGAGAAGGAGGGGGGGAAGAGCCCACCTGCTTGCTTGGTCGTCCATGGGTCTTGTTCCTTGCCAGCGTCCGGTCCGGACCGCCTTGCCCTCTCCTGCCTCCCGTTGTTGCGGCTGCTTTAGGGGTGAGGATCCCAAAGAACACAGCGCAGCCCCCGGGGTTCCCTTTAAATCCCGGGAGAATGACCTCATCCGCATATATTAGCAGCCAGCCAATGGGGAGGGTGGGATTTAGGCGGGGGCGCGGCCTAAATTTACCCCCCCCCTCCTCCTCCTCCTCCTCCTCCTCCCTCCTCCCTTTTCACCAACTTGGAGGAAGTTTGCTCCTTACTCCCAGTTCCTCTTTTGGGGGGAGTCACATGTTCACCCCAGATTTGCACTTTCTCTCAGCCTCCACCTTCCCAGGCATGGGACTACAAAGCCCAGTGCTCCCGGCTGAGCCGCTTTGCACAAACACACACACACACACACACACACACACACACACACACACACACACACACACACACACACACACACACACACACACACACACACACACACACACACCGGAGCTCTCAGTTCTGGCTTGGGTGGCACCCCAGGCACGATGCCAAGGGCAAGGTCTGGAAGCGATGAGGTCATGTCGGTGCCCGGGGTGTTCCTGAGCATGCACAAAGCTGGCTGCAAAGCACAAACACACACCCACACACCCCGCAGCCTCGGCCTGCCTGTAGTCCTCAACTTATAACAGTCCCTTTAGCGACTGTTTCAAAGTTTCCACGGCGCTGAAAAAAAGGAATTTAACGGCCGTTTTTCACACTTGCGACCGTTGCGGCATTCCCCAGGATCACACGATCCAGGTAACCGATTCACATTTAAGACGGTCGCAACATGGGACAAAGCCCACTTAACAAGTGGTTTCACTTAGCAATGAACATTTTGGTCACGAGTTGAGGGTGACCTGTATATTTTTTTTTAAAAAAAGGTTTTTTGGGAAGCAAAACAGGAATGGAAGCAAAAAGAAGCCGAAGGCTCAGAAGCTAGATCTCTTTGAGTGCGAGGAAAAAGGCACTCTAAATACGCTCAGAGGCTGTCAGTCTGTCTAGCAACCCCTGGAAAAGATTCGTCTGTAAGGAAAAGGCGCTCTGTGTATGCCCAGGATTAACTTTTCTGCAGGAATGGGAGGAAAAACAAACAAACAAACAAAAAAAACCCGCTTTGGACAGGCAAAGAAGCTAGACCTCTTGAGCATTGACATGAGCAGCGACTGGAAAGAAAGAAAAGAAGGAAGGAAGGAAGGAAAGAAAGAAGGAAGGAAGGAAAGAAAGAAAGAAAGAAAGAAAGAGAAAGAAAGAAAGAAAGAAAGAAAGAAAGAAAGAAAGAAAGAAAGAAAGAAAGAAAGAAAGAAAGAGAAAAGGCACTCTAGACATGCTCAGAGATCGTTCGCCCTTTCGGCAACCCTCGGAAAAGATTCTTTGGCGGGGGGGAGGAAAGGCACTCTGTGCGTGCCCAGGAGGACAGAAACAAAGCCCATGTCGCTGAGCGAGATGCAATTCGGGGCAGGGTTGCGACGACGGGACTCGGAGTCTCGTTCGCAGCATGCGCGAAGGGCAGAGGCGGGTTCAAATCCTGGTGTGCGCGGGGAGAAATTGGCTGGACTCGCACCCGCCAACGGCAGCCGTGCAGAGGCGTTAAAAAACCAGCACCCCGATGGAAATGGGGTAGAAGCGACGTCCCTGGTTTGGACCCCAGGCCGGCGGAGGGTTGTCATGGCGCCCGGGCCGGCCCGCCCCTCTGCTAATACCGAGCCCCACACGGCGACAAAGGGCCCGCTCAGCGTTGCTAACCTATCCTGACAAGGGATTCTCAGCCTATTCAGTTGGACATCAGCCTGTCATCCGCCCTCACCCCACCGTCCGTGACCTCCCCACCTGACCCAGCCCTGTTGTTAAGCCCCCCGAACGAAAGAAAAGCAGGAAAAATCCACGCTCCGCAAAAAAAAAAAGGACCCCCTTCTCTCCCCCAGTCCCCGGCCCTGCCCCGTTTCCAGCTCTATCTTTTGCCTCCCCCCCTCCAAACTGCAATTCAGCTGCTTGCCTGCCAGTTCCCTCTTGAGGACTAGCTGCTTGGCAGGGAGAGCCGAGTTCCTGGGAGGCTAGGCCGAAACCAGGCAGGTGTTGAGTTGCTGTGGGATGGAGACAGAATTCATTTGGTGTTTCGAAAGGGCTTTCCGGCAGGGAAAAAAATGTGATTTATGACCCGTTTCGCACTTAAGGACCGGTTCAGTGTCTCCCGTAGTCGCCGGGTCAGACTCACATTTACGACGGTCGCAGCGGCCCCGGGGTCGTGTGTGATCCCCGTTTGCGACCTTCTGGCGAGCAAAGTCAATGGGACAACCAGATTCGCTTAACAATCTGCTTACTACGGTAGTGATCCACTTAAGAACCCAGCAAGAAAAAAATTGGGCTCAGTGTTGGTCGTAAGGCGAGGACACTTTTCCTGACCTGGGGAGCAAGAGAGAAATGTCCCGAGTGCAAAGCTTGACCTGTTGAATTTCAGCCTCTGCTGCTGATGCTCATAAAGCCCAAAATTGCAGTGTGGTTTTATTATTATTATTTTGATTTTCAGGGAGGCAGATTGAACCTAATTTCCCAGGCTTTGGCTCCCACGTACCTCATAAATTCAGGAGCCAAGCTGCAATGGGTACAAGATGCCAGGCTGAAGTACAACAGGGCGAGTGGATCATTCAACAGCCAACAGCCCAGAAGCTGAGCCCTGCGGAGGGAGGTCTGTTTCTGAGGCTGATTTAATAATAATAATAATAATAATAATAATAATAATAATAATAATAATAATAATAATAATAATAATGTTGGAAGGGACTTGGAGGTCATTCTCTCTCTCTCTCTCTCTCTCTCTCTCTCTCTCTCTGTCTATCTGTCTGTATCATCTATCTATCTATCTATCTATCTATCTATCTATCTATCTATCTATCTATCTATCTATCTCAGGATAGAGCTGAAAGGGACCTTGGAGGTCATCTAGCCCAATCCCCTGCTCAGGCAGGAAACCCTACACCATTTCAGACAAATGGCTGTCCAGTCTCTCCTTAAAAACTTCCAGTGTTGAAGCATTCACCGCTTCTGGAGGCAGGTTGTTCCACTGGTTAATTGTTCTAACTATCAGGAAGTTTCTCCTTAGTTCTAGGTTGCTTCTCTCCTTGATCAGTTTCCATCCGTTGCTTCTTGTCCTGCTTTCAGGCGCTTTGGACAATAGGGGGACTCCCCCCCTCTTCTTTGTGGCAGCCCCCCCCCCAAATATTGGAAGACTGCTATCATGTCCCCCCTAAGTCCTTCTCTTCATTAAACCAGACATACCCAATTCCAGCAACCGTTCCTGTTTCCCAAACAGATAGAAATGTCTTGAAATGAGAATTTTAGCAGGGATTTCCCTACATTACGCTCCCAATTGGCCTGCAAAGTTTAAAAAAGACCGATTAACGCACAGCCTTCAACCAGCTGTCTTTAAATAAAGCCCAGCTCTGCTAATCACTTTAAGGTATATTCTCAGATTAATTGGCCCAGCTTTCTTCCACGCTGACCGGCCCCGCCTTTGCCCCCCCCAACGCCTTCCAACTTCAATGACCCATATTTCACTCTATTTAATCCTGATCTGGGCCCAAGACGGCATTTAATGGATTCCCGGCTCAGCCCAGCCGGGGAGCGTTTCTAAACCTTGATCCCGACAAATAAACAGACAGATTAGGAAGGTGGGAAGGCTTTTAATGGGATCGGGGAGTGGGGGCAGACGGCCAGGATTTGTCCCTCTGGGTCCCTGGCTGGCACAAGGTGGGTTAAACTGTTTAATCCCGGTTGTCCACCCGTTCTGTCTAACTCTGGTTAAGTGGGTGTCAGAGATAAGACTGGATAGGAGAGAATATTTGGCATTGAGCTGTGGCGCTCTCTGAGCTGGGTGGTTTCCTTGCAGACGTTTTATGACCCAGCTAGGGAACGTCATCAGCACTAGAAGGGAGTGGGGTTTGTGGGAAGGAGGAGAAAGAGGAGAAGGAGGGCTGGGAGGGGGGGGGTCCTTGGTGGCCTGTGAGCTTGGTAGTTTTCTTGAAGATGTTTCGTGACCCAACTAGGTAATGTCATCAGTGCTGGAAGGGAGGGGGGATTGTGGAGAGAGGAGGAGGAGGAGGAGGAGGAGGAGGAGGAGGAGGAGGAGGAGGAGGACGACAACAACAACAACAACGACTTTGGGGTCCTTGGTGCTCTCTGAGCTTGCTTGTTTCCTTCAGACATTTCATGACCCAACTAGAGAACATCATCAGTGCTAGAAGGGAGTGGGGTTTATGGAAAGGAGGAGGAGGAGGAGGAGGAGGAGGAGGAGGAGGAGGAGGAGGAGGAGGAGGAGAACTGAAGGGTCCTTGATGTTCTCTGTGCTTGACGGTTTTCTTGCAGACCTTTTATTAGCCAACTATTGTAGATAACAACATCAACGCACCGATGATGTTCCCTAATTTGGTCATGAAACGTCTGCAAAGAAGCCACCCATCTCAGAGAGCACCAAGGACTCCCGTAGACAAGGTTCCTCCAACGTGGAGGGGCTAGGAACTTGAACCATGGTTAGCAGGCTTGTGTGACCCCCCCCCTAAAAGCAATGATTGAAGGGAGGACCATCGCAAGAACGGACTATCGTGTTTGTCACCCTTTTGCCATCCCACGTTCTTCACTGTGGCTGCGAAGGCAGAACTGGAAACCAACCCAGATTCGGATAAGTCTTCCATTTGGGCCTCCGTCAGCTTGATCAGGTTTGAAAAAGTGGGGGGGGATCTTTCCTGCCCCCTCCCTCCTCAATGGCTCCTCCACTCCAAGTTTGAGAATCTCTGATTCAAAGGGGTTAAACAGCTGTGGTTGCAAAACCAGCAAGCTGGCACCAAAGGAGAACAGTGGCCAGAAAGGGTGTAGGGACTTCTGCATGGGCAGGGGGTTGGACTAGATGCCCTACAAGGTCCCTTCCAATTCTGCTATTCTATTCTATTCTATTCTATTCTATTCTATTCTATTCTATTCTATTCTGTTCTGTTCTGTTCTGTTCTATTCTAATTCCTTATTTCTATTCTATTCTGTTCTGTTCTATTCTAATTCCTTATTTCTATTCTATTCTGTTCTGTTCTGTTCTGTTCTATTCTAT